TAGCTGTTAGAGTGCTTGGATTCAGAATATAGTGGTTTGGATCCAGAATAAGAATGGCATTGACAATACATTGATGTTTTGGTTTTAGGGAAGTCGTGTTTATACCAAGTCAAGGACATTTTTTCTTGTCTCATGCTCTGCCAGTTAGGAGGTGCCAAAGAAACTGGGAGTGAGCAGAGCCTGGACAGGTGGCCTGGACTGACCAAAGGGAGATTCCACACCACAGGAGATCATGCTCACTGGGGAGACATTTGGGGTGATGGTGCTTGCCTTCCCAGGTCACTGTTACACGTGATGGGGCCCTGCCCTCCTGGGGAGGGCTGAACACCTGCCGGCCCATGGGAAGAGGTGAATATTTCCCTGTTTTGCTTTGCTTGTGTGCACAGCTTCTGCTATCCCTACTAAACTGTCTTCATCAGAATCCACGAGTTTTCCAGTGTTTCCCCTTGCAGTTCTTTCCCCAGTCCCATTGGCACAGGAGTGAGCAAGTGGCTGCCTGGGGCTTGGCTGCTGCCTGGTGTTGCACCATGATGCCAATACAAGATGCACTAAAGAAAGAGATTTTGCTCTGGCCAGAAGTAGTACAAGTTTCTCTGGAACAAGTCTCCAGAACAGATGAAATATTAGAGATTTTTAATGGCACATTTCAGTTTGGTAGGTAAAAGTGGCATGGTTTATTTAACAAGCAGACATGATACTTTGCTATAATGATGGTTACCTTTTACTCATTAATCTGCTGCTTACCTAGACTTACATAAAAAACTCATCCAATTAGCATCTGCAAAAAAACAACCATACTAGAGATCCAGCATTAACCAAAAGCAAGACAAATTATCAAAAGCCTTACAAAAGAATATGCCTACTCCACCCTGACTGGGAATGACTTTTCCAGATTCATGCACGAGTGTTAATTACCAGGCGATGCACGCTGCTATTGTTTTGACATACGACACACAGATCCTGTTCTTCCTCATTGCTTTGATTAAAAATTTGGCTCAGAGAGAAGTTTACATTGTTCTTTTTAATAACTGCAGCAGCTACTTCCACACCACTGCAGGGCAGGAGAGGGGCTGAGTTGCTGGGTCCTGACTAGCCAAAGCAAACTAGTCCCCCTGAAGCACCTCAGATCTCCCATTAAATCGGGACATTTTCAATATTTTTGGTTTCATTCTTTTTTTACACTGACCCACTCCGACCTTTTTGAATTGTCAATAAAAGCTTCATAGCTCCCTCTGCTGCCAGCAAGTATGAAATTCAGTTACTCTACACAAAATCTGCTTGCACCTGATAGAAAAATTGCACTCCTGTTTCTCTAATCATATATATGTGTAGAGCCCTTTGAAAACAAGATTTGAGAAATTTTATGGGTATTTTATTTTAGGGCTCTCCTAAGATTGCCAATTTGATTGGATAATTATTCTTACTATAAATCAATATTGAAGACCTATAGTTAAGTACTACTTTAATATGATAATTTCAAAATACTATCTTATTCAATATGAAAATGAAACCATGTTATCATCTGAGTATTTAGATGGGTATCTAATGACACCCACAAAACAAAAATCAATTATTCAGAACAGTTCAGAGACTTGTCTCAACTGCTTCTGCCCTACCACTACTATTTTTCAGTACATCTTCCCAAGTGTTTCACACTCCCATTGCTGCCTCTTCTCTGAACCTGCCCTCCCGAGCAGTGCCTCTCCAAACCTGTCCTCTGCATTAGGTACCAGCTAGGTTTGTTAGCTGTCTTACTGCTGCTGTTCTCCATGCTGACAGCCATGAAGTGTCCTGAATCCAATGCTCTCTATTCCCCAGGCCCATTTCAAGACCACCCCCACAATGGTGGAGTACCAGCACAAGTGCCCCCCATCTGCCTCTGCTGCACTTCTAACAACTCTGCAGCCCAGAAGGGACAGGGCTGGGATGAGTGACTGAAAACAGACAAGAAAAGGGGGCATCAGAGGGCTTACACATCTAAAACTGTGGGGTTACACTGACAGAAAAATGCATTTGCTAATACATCCTCCTTTGTGTCGTAGCTGCAGCTACACTCCACCTCTGCAGTGCTGGAGGCTGCCTAGATATAATTTAAGAGGCGTTTCAGTTTCAACAGGTGCACTGAGCTAGAGACTGACACAGACCCACACAAGGCCTGACATACAGAGACAGATGGCCAAGCACTACCCACGTCACTGGATCTGCACTAAGTCCATGCCACAGGGGACTTGGCTTCATTTATCTAAACTTCGTAGCAAAATGCACCACCAACCCTCTCCTTTCCTCCAGATAATTTGGGAGCCACAGATAATTTGGAAGCTGCTTACTCTAACAGCATTAGAGCTTTCAGATCTTGACACTGATGTCTGTTTGAAGCCTTCTGCTTTCTTGCTTCCAGCACTACAAGCCTGGCATCTCTCCTGCCTTTTCTTTGAAAGTTAAAGGAACAGATTCCTGCCTTCCCAAACTGTTCAGCTTCCTTTTCCTTATCCTGGCCCAGCCCTACATTTCTTTTTATTAGTTTTGCCTCAGCAGATGACCTCAACCTTCCAGGAAGGAAGCTCCAAGGCTGACAGGGTGTTTTCCAGCTCTGTGCAATGGTAGCTCCAGAATCAGCCAGCCCCCTAAGAGAGGCAAAAAGGAGCATCCAGAACAAGAGGTAACATCCAGTCATGGCTGGAGTAAAAAAAACAGCAGCATCTTAGTGCAGGCTCCCTACCACTGGAGAAAAGTATTTAAAATTAAAAAAAGAAATCAACAAGTGGAAATTTCAGATGCCAGTATTTTGAGCCTAGCCTCCCTCAAACAAAGTCCCAAAATACAGGATTTCACTAAACACTGAGAAAAAAATTAAAACTAAATCTATTTTTATTTGTCCAAGTCTTACGTGCTGTTCATTAATATTAGATAGCCAAGACTTAACCACTCTTTTCTTGCTTATCCATTAGCAGCAGCATTAGTCACTTAGCAGGGGAAAAAAAAAAAGAAAGTGCCCAGAAACCTTAAATTAATAGATACAAATTGATTCATACTTCATACTACAGGTCACAGTTGGAAGTCCTCAATGATCACTAAACAGCCAGGAAACTTAATTCCTTAGGAGACAGTTTCATATTCCAACCCAGTAGGCACTTTCAGCATTACCAAGCCAGAACAGACCATATGTCCTCCTCTCTTTCAGACAAGGCTAATCTCATAAAAAGCATCTTTTTAACCCACATGATTTTTGTACAAGTATGCACTTAAGTAAAAGCTCAATTCATTTGTAGGGGGAAAAAATAACCAAAAAGAAAACAACCAGATAACAAATCTATCTGGCACCCTTTTCTTCTGTAATTTCTTATCATGCTTTTAGTGCCTATTTCCCTCTTCTACATCTTTCAGTTCAGCTCTGCTCACTGAAAGGGGCAGCCCCATCACTCCAGCAGCCTCAAAAGAGCTCCCCACTTGAAGCTGTACACACACCCTCTGCAGGAATACTGGAGGCTGGGGTCATTTCAGATAGTGCATAGCTGCAACATCTGCAGACTAAAGCACACAGGAAAACACTTGTGCTTCAGCATTCCCCCAGAACGGGAGCAGCTGGCTGCAATGACACTTTCACCAAGTGACACAACACACCTGGGAGCACAGGACCATATAAGGTAACAATTTTGTCAAAGTTTCTGTATATGTGAAAAACAGGCACATAGTTCAGAAAGAAAATGGCAATGAGAAACCAGGTACACTGTGGCATGCTTTCAACTGAGACTTTCATAAAGAGATTCAGAAGCAAAAGAAATGCTTTAATCCTTACCATGTTTCAAAAATACATTGCACATGGGCTCTGTGTTCTTCACTAGTAAAATCAGATTTTATTAAACATTGAAGTAGTTCCCTGAACTATTTTGCTACAGCAGCATAAGGTAAAATCCTGAATTTTGGAATAATTCTTTACTAAAAATGAAGTGCCTGCATTGGGGAAAAGTAATACAAGAAATAATCCATGTGAAGAAAACAAAATCCATTTGAAATAAATTCTTTGTGTTTCTTTTGAGGACTTGTCTATGTCAGTCCAGTTATAACAGGATTTCTCAAACTTTAATACAGTAATCCTCTTGTATTTCAATGTATGTACATATTGTCTAATAAAAACTGGGTACTCCACATACTACAAAGAATTTGTACATAGAAGAAAAAAAGAATAAAACAAAAATTCCTGAAAATGAGACCCACATAGTGTGTTGAATTTCCAGAAGCTTCAGCAGCAGCAGTGTCTCAATTCTGTCTGAAGATTAAGGCCTGGAAGGACTTTTAATTTTTTTTCTTTTTTTAACATTCTCAATATAAAACACAGCTGTATATCAACCTCTGAAATTCAAAAACAGAGCTCAAAACAGACCCCACGTGACACTGCTAGGACCACTGAAATAATAAAAAACCCCAAACATGTAAACATGATTGTACACTGATAATCCCATGTCAGCTAGCCACAACTTGCATCAAGGCTCTTTCAAACTATTCATACAGCAAAACCCATTTTTAATGCCCTTTACAGATCACAGTCATTTATGAGAACATAATGTAACAAATTAAGCATTGTAGTATCACAGACGGACACAGGCTGAGAGGAAAAAACTGCAAAGAGCTTCCTGTCATTTGTGATTTTTCATTCCCTACCTTATGAAAAAATTAAGAATACTGTTGAGTATTTTTTAAAAGCTCTGCATCAAATATAATAAAAAGTTAAAAATCTCAATATTTTAAATTTAAGACACCAGCTTGGGTTAAAGCACAGACTTCTGTCTTTCTCATTTAAATATGAAACTAAAGTAGTATTTGCAATTGTCCTTTCTGAAGAAAAGATTACTGCTCTGAAGTACATCACACTATAAACCAACATTCTCACTACCTCCATAAACAAAAACTTAATGAGGCAAAACGATTGCATTTTACATTTAGATGGTGCAAAAATTAAATTTCACTCAATCACTGAAGACGAAAGGAAGTCAGAAGCAAGCTTAAGAATCAATATTTTTTTATTTACTGCTTTGTAGTATAAAAGTTGTATATAAACTATTTTGTTAAAAATACATTTGATAAGCAAATTTAAGAAAAGCAGACTAATATGGCAATATGCATACCCCTACAACAGCAGTGTAGTGTTAAAAGCAATGAAACAGGCAGTTTCTAAATCCTCTTTTGCTTAGGTAGCAATGCATAAATTCAATTCTTGCACATATCAAGTCTCATAATACCTTACATAATTACTTTATACAGGTAAACAATATTTTACATACCCAACATCTTTCCATCCCTTTTATTCTATGTATTTTCAATGGAATCAAAATAGAAACTACTTTTAAAATAAGTAGAAAAAATACAAATGACCATTTAAACTTTCTTCCATCCTTTTGCCATTTATTTGCCATACTAACCCATCATGCATCAAAACACTGTATCAAGACAAACCGCCCTTTTTTTAGAAAAAGCTTTGGGGACAGTCTGGAACTTTGTATCTTTTCTGAAAATTAATTGAAAACTGCTGTTTTCTCCAATGCTCCCTTTTTCCAGCAACACTTTATACTCATAGCTATCAATCACTTGGAAACTGAAAGCTTATTACTACAACCAATACTAATTAAATCTTCTAGAAATATTGTTCACACAAATAATCATGTGAAGCTTAATGTGTGCCTTTAAAATGAGGTTGCTGTTTATGTTGTACTTAAATATTGAAGATGTTTCACAAGCTGATTTTAAATTTATGGGAGCAGGGAGCAGTGCTAAACACTGAAGTTAGAGTTCCAGCCAAATAGTTATTTTGAGTTCTCAAGGACAGACAATTATTTCTAAAAATATCCATTTTGAAAAGAACAATAAAACATTTATTATTTTCAAAGTTTGGGTAGTGGTAGGGTTTTTGGCAAACATAGCATCGTTGAAAAGAACATTGATAGGACCAGTCGGTATCTTGTGGATACACACAGAAGGAAGACCATCAGCAGCACATACTTGTAGCAAGAGTGAAAAAACTTGATGCTTCCTGGCAAGACATGAGAGTAACTAATACACAAGCAAGAAGAGTAATTTTGTACACACTGATTGTTAACACTGCATACATAAATCAATGAAGAAATACAAGTCTCAGATATGAAGAAGAAACACAATTTAGAGCTCTTGTTTAAAAAGACAGAAGGTATCAATTGAAAATAAATCCATTTCAAAACCATACACTGATTTTCCTTGAGTTCATAAAGCAGATTAAGTTATAGTTCTCAGAATATAGTGCAATCTCTACTAAAAAGCATTATATTAGAGCTTATATTCTTAGGCACTCAGAACAAATGATATGATTTTCTGTTACACAGAAAAGCTTGCTGAAATATTACAGAGATTTCTCTCCCCAGAACAAGTAACAGGACAAAGCTGAGATCATAAGTAGATACAGAAAATTAATATGAGAATACCATGGAAATCTTAGCATTAAGCCACACTTAAAATATGAAAGGAGTAACACTGGCTTAAGATTTTGTTGCCAATGTATACAACTACCCTCAGTCCAATAAAGCCACTCTGAAGCACTTCAGTATAATATTCCATAAAATTTTTAATGCCCAATATTCCATATCCTTATCTAAGGCTTGAAATATGTTGCCTTAACTTAATAAGGAACCTGTGGGTAAGAACAAGAAAAGAAAAGCAAAACTATTAGGCACTCTTCAAATATGAGAGAGCAGTTACAAGAAAACAGGAGAACACAAGGCCTTGAGGAAAGTAACCTCACCAAGAGCTCATCCAACAGCATACAAAAAGATGCTCTTCAGCCTATGTCAAGTAGTAAGAGAGAGATATGGGTCTGGGGAACAACAATTTAATTTAACATCTGCATATAACTGAACCAGTCTCTACTGTGAGGTACCCTGCACAGAGCTGACTTTACGTACTGAAGGCACACGTGCAGATTTGGCTGACAATTATTTCCTTTTATGTTTTACTTGGCTACAAGCAGTTAGATTAAAAGAATATTTCCATCTTTCAAAGGCTGGCTTTTATCTTCAGCAAACACTTGTCAATTTTGCAGTGGTCAGAACAGAAGAAAAATCCAGATGGACCACTGGGGTGAATGCAGTTTATCCACGAGGTAATTGTATTACTCTTTATACTGAGCTCATAAATGCTTGTCTAAAAAAAGTTTAAGACTTGATAAAGCTTTTACCTTTCCTGTCCAAAAACTTGTACGTATGTTTTCTTCCCAAGATGAAGCCATTCGTTATGATGTCCGCACAGCTCAACAGTATTTAAGTGTCTAAATCTCACTATTTTACTGGTGAAAAACCATTAAGTGCTTAACCTTGCAGGAATGACATCACAGAACATTTAAAATGCTACATTGCCATAAATACATTTCTTAAAATAGTATGCATTGTTTGGGAGTTTTCAGTTTTCTCCAAAGTGCTTGCAGACAATCTTCTTCTAAAAGGCACACCTGTAAGAGAAGAAAACAGTTCTAAAAATAAACCTAAATAGCAAAATTACTTTTAGGATGGACACACCAATTAAAAACTTAGCAGGTGCTCTGAAATGGAAAAAAAAAGCCACAACTGCATGAAGTAGTTGCCGTGCATTCCAAGTTTAGCATGTGAAATCATAAAGAGGAACTAAAAATTGAGCTAGTACTCTTGAAATGCATGGACAAACACATGGACCAACTGACAAATCACACCACAATGTTAAGCACTACAAATGGAAAATGTTACATAGCTTCAGTGTACCAGCACCAGTCTCTGTTTATACCCAGTAGCTTAAAATGGATGTCCAAGAGCTCAACTCAAAATTTTGGCTTCAATTATCAGCAGTGTATCTACCACTCTTTATGTGCTATTAAGCATACTTGAAATAAAATTAACTTATTAAATGGAGTCTGCTGAGGACATGGACCTTGAAGACATAGAGAAGACATGCCACAACTTTCAATGATACAGCCAGCAAGACACTAGATAAGCTGAAACACTGTAGAGGTCGCTTCAGAACACATCAATTTAGGGGAAAAAAAACCCTGGACTTGAGAGCAGCAGTGAATACAGGCAGTCAGCAATGCTATTTCATCCAGGTACTGTCCCACTCAGGAATTCCACCTCCTACAGGAACTCTCAGTAACAGTGGTTAAAGTCAGCCACAAATCCTCTGAATGACAGAAAGACCTTTTCTGGAAGCAGTTAAACACACATTTATGCCTTCTTCCTCTGCATCTGAAGATCTGAGTCAAATTCACCCAAAGTACAAGCTTTCATCAGAAATATACTGACTAGAGGCACAAAAGTCTTAAATGCAGTTTATTCTTCAGTAAATAATTCAGCTTCAGTAAACTGAGCTACAATAATTTATTAGAAGTCTGAAATAAGTAGCTGAAGTAAAGGTCTAACTACTACCTGTTTAAATGTGAACAGCTTCTCATGACAGTAGACAAAAACTGATCTAGAACCATGCTAGGGAACAGTATCATACCCTTTTTCAAGCAAGATCTCTTTCTTTTTTGTAGTGCAAATCAAACAGACCTGGCTAGTTTCCCAGATGATTTACAAAATAGCTCTTTTGGACTAGAGAGACCATTAAAATATTCTGCTGAACCATTTCTCTGCTATTAGAACATTTGTTTTCAGAAGGGGCAAAACTTTAATCCTAAGGGGAGGTTCTACAATAAAAAGCTGCCATAGATGGACAATTTTTTTACAGCTTTACTATCATATTTCTCTAGAGAACAGCTTATTTTTAAATTAAAGTAGCAATGGTTTAAATTTATAGAACTTTTAGGTAATTACATGGAACAGCTTTCCTATTTAGGAGAGGAAAGAACAAATTAGAGAGAAAGCTGGACTACAAAATATTTTGAGTGATTTCAAAATTATGGGGTTTTTTTAATCAAAGTGCACTGGAATTTATTTTCATATATGCCCTCTTCTTTCTACTTCTTGTACTTAAAGAGAAGATAACTAGCTTGTCTTTAAGTAGAAAAAAAATCATATTATGAACAATCTGATGAGATTTCTGTATCTCCCACTAGAGATACAGAAAAGAAATAAAAATAGTCACAGAACAAACAAAACAATTAGCTGGGCATGGAAATGCCAGTCTAGTGAAGGAAGACACTATCTCCTACTGCATTTAGCTGATATTGATTTTTAAAAAGGGAAGAAATAGAAGGCACATCAACATTAAAAAAAACCTTCAGCACAAGGACATCATTCTGAATCAGAAAATAGGAGTACTGATTCACTTTCACAGACATCTGTAGACCCTTCACAGATTTCAGTGCAACAGTGAAACAGCAGCACTAGGCACCTGTGATTGGCCAAAATGCGCTACAGATCAAAAAGCGAAACACTGGCATAGACAAGTCTGGTCTTATAAATGTCCAGCAATAAAGATGATTATTCCAATTTCCTAATTTTTGAAACCTGAGCTCCCCCTTCTTGCAATTTAGCCTATCACTGTCTTCTTATTTACTGGGGTAAAAAAAAATCCACCCAACCTCCATAACTTTTTTATTACTTGGAAGCATACCACATCTCCAAGTCTCTTTTCCTCTACAGCAATGTTTCCAAAAACCTGGGTATAATTTGGTGATGAGGCATAGAGGCCAGACAAATACATTCTGCTTAGTTCAACAGTGAAACCTGTGCTGCCAGTAAGGGTTGGGAGGAACTATCCCTCACTGCATACCAGCTCTCTTCTTTAACCTCAAGATACTCAAGGGCATTTGAGTCTTGTTGCTCTTCTAAACAGACTAAATTTTCTCTTGTGCATTTCCCTCTTCCATTTGAGGTAACCAATAATGTGACACAACATCATTTTTTCCTCTCTCTCAGCATACAGAGAGTTTGGCACTGTGCATTTTGTTCACTTTCCTCAAGTCCAGCACCTTTACTGTGTCACCCCAGAGCCTTTCTCACTCAAAGGTCAAGTCTGAATTTTGAATCACATATGTTGAAAATCACCTTTCCCCTTCATATTGTCCATCAGCATATCATCAAATAGAGGCAAACCATATTAACTTCCAGGGTTTTTTTTCCCCTAACATTCTAAACTGTGAAGAGAAAAAAAACAACACAGTGAGGATTTCATTTCAAAACCATGCTGGGCATGTTTTTCACATGCTCAATAGAGTAACTCAAGCAATTTACTGAAGTTTAATGACTCACAAGAAAACCCCAACCGCCAGGCTTAGTTAGATCCCTGTGAGATCAGCAGTTTCATGTGACTCCACTGCTATTAGTCAAAGCTCCACAGATCTATCAGAGAAGTATCTAGTAAGCAATCATCTTATACAAGCATGCAGTACAAAACAGCAAGCATAAGGAAGCCACTATAGTTATTGAATAACTGTAGTTATTCCAGTGACACAACTGTCAGCAGCACTTGTTTGTTTTGGACAATAAGCACATTGCCACTAAATCTGAGCCATGGCCAAAATTTGTTTATTGCCAAGAAATTAATATGCAGACATTTTATCTGTTGGACTAGTGATGCCACACCCACAAAAGTTATTTCAACACCTACTCTAATTACAAAATCTGAATAAACAATTAGATAAGAATTTGGTGGATAAAAAAGCCTTGCTTAACTTATTATTAACTGAGTGACCACATATAATTTTTGCAGACTTGTGTAGAGAATTTTGAAATTAAAAGTTGAGTTTTCACACAGAACTGAAGCATTTTCAACTGTACTGATTACCTTCACATATTTCACAACATAACACCTCCAGCATGAGTTCCTCATGTTCAGATGTTTGATACCTGCCTTCACTCTGAGCTCCTCCTCTCTTGCACGTCCTGTTTGGCGGGTGTGGCGGGCGCTTCGCTCACGTCCTGCTTCGCTGGCATCTCCCCATTGACGCTCTCCACGCCAGTAACGGACATCAAGCTCTTCCGCTCCTTCGAGTTGGATTTGTGATCCACTTTTGTGACTCGAAATCTGAGATGAACAACACAAAGAGCACTTGTATTTCCCCACAGATGAGTTAGGTCATTCTCAGGAGCAACAGCATAGGCAGAAACAAATTTCCAGGTCCCCAGAAGGAGATGTCAGAGCAGACATCTACATGGACACTGCTTCACTTCAGAGCATCTTCCTTCCTATCACCTAGAGGTCTTTCTAGTTCTCACTACTGCTCAATCACACTTTCTCAGGGAATTGTGTTTTGAAGCAGAATCCACAGATTGCATACCACTTTTTAGAATAGTGATTTTCTAAGACAACTACAATATAAGGTAAGAATTAAAAATAACAAATAGAATGAAGTGGCTTCTATAGCCTCACACTTACTTGAGAAATACCGAATTCAGAGAAATTTATTAGTATGCAATTCTTGTTTCTTTTTAGCTGGTATCAAATGAGCAAGAGCCTTAAATTTACACCTACAGTAAATCTCCATCTTTTTACATCGTTCTTAAAAAAAAAAGAAAATCACATTTACTTCTTCCAGAAATAACTTCAGTCTAATAGTAACAGGATTATTAAAAAAAAAAATCACCAATCTTATAAACAGAGCAGAATCAGTGGATATCTGATCCAACACTGGCCACTGTAACTTTCTAAGAGAAGTATACAACAAAATGACCCCAGCCTTACCTTCCCACAGAAAGCACTGTAACTTCTCCAATACGACTTCTTCTGTTCTCTTTAGATTTTTGAGCTGGCTTTATGAGGTGCCATCGTTTGTGACTACAGCGAGTACAAACATCCTTTTCCACCACTCCTCCAACAGTATGGAAGTGATGGGCTTTGCAGTTGTGTCTGAACGGAACAACACCTGGTGACAAAGGAGTCCCTGGACTCACTGGACTCTCAGGAGAGGTAGGAGATAATGGGCTGTAGAAACAAAGAAATAAAGAAAATTTAATGTTTACTGTAAAATACTATTTCTTGAAAAGGAAAAAGGATGAAATCCAACCTTCAGTTATGTCTAGTGAATAACCCGTTTTTACAGGAAACATCTATTTGTGAGGATGTCCAGCTTACAGTTCCCTCCAATATTATATTTTTGCAATTGGAATCACTTTCACAAATTAATTCAGCTGCAGTCATGTGCTTAAGGTAACTAACACAAAAGACAAGAAAAAAAGAGGGGAAAAAAGTCAGCCTAAATAGAAGAGAATAGGTTACATGAACTTATTTTGAAGAAGACATTTAATAAGCTGATTACACTCACAAAAAAACTGCCTTGGAAAATTATAGAAAGTATTTCAGAATTGTTACAGGATCTCAAGGAATTCCGAGAAGAGCACAGTCCCACAATACTGAAAGGAGGCAAAACTAAAATGTGTACCACAATGGCAAAAGGAAACATCATCATCCAGTTTCAAATGAAAAAATAAAATTTTAAGTACCTAGAAAGAAAAAGCAGTACAACTTCCAAAAGGCATTTGAGATTAACTAATAGAATCAATCTGATTTTCCTTGAAAGCAGAAAAACAAACAGATAGCAGTGACAGAAACCAGTTGTACTTTTTTTTGGACTTTAGCATCAATTTTAACACTGTCTTGTAACACAGCAGACCAGAGCTCATGAAAGGTGAAATAACTGTAGAGTACAGCAGCACCTTGTAAAAAAATATTAAAAACACATACAGAATGTTATATATCTGTAGTTGCTGTGAAACTGCAAAGTCATACTAAATGTGGGTTTTTTTGATCCTGGTTATATTCAGTGCTTCAAATAGTTCACTGGGTAACAGAATAGAAGAACAGCTAAAGTACCCATAAACTTTGGATAACCCATAGCAACCTCAGAGGTCAAGATAAGAAATTAGAATGATGAGAAGAGAACGCATATATGAAAGACATTCACACATACACAAATCTTACTAAATATACAGGATGTATAGCAGTAAGGACAACACAAATTCTCAGTGTTTTAGCAGAGAGCCTTTACCCAAACCTAGACCAAAATCAATCAGACAGATGACCATTCCTCAGAAAAAGAGGATCACGAGCAGAACATGAATCATTAACAACATTCTTGCTTAAAAAGGACAAAACAGCAGAAATAACAGAAGTATAACCTGTGAACCTAAATTTACAATACTCAGCATTAATCATGCCAGATCTGATCCTACCATGTAGGTTTAGAAATGTTATTTCAAGAAATACAAACAAACTGCAGAGACTCCAAAGGAGAACAGAAAGAACAAATTAAAGAAGTAAAACATGCCAGAGAGGACTGAGAGTTACTTGGATGCTCATTTTCAAAATAAAAATATTGGCAAGAAATATTTAATGGTCTTCAAATAAATAAGAAAATGCTATTAAGGAAAATAAAAGCAGTTCAATACCTGAAGCAAAGACAGAACTAATGGCTTCAACTGAGAGAAGGGTCAATTTTACCCAGCCATAACTACTTCTATAATTAGGAAGTTTCATAGTGCACTGAACTTGCAAAGAAATACAGAGGATTTCTACTTGATTACAAAAGCTTCAGGAGTATCTGTCAGATTCTGTAAGAGCAATCATTTTGTCTCCTCCTTACTCTTCATATTTTAATTCACCACTGAAACTATAGTCTAAAATGCCCAAAATAACATTACACATGCCTATGCAAAAAATTCAAACAAATATCTCTACAGAACCACAGACATTTAAAAATATCTATACTTGAGGAGAAATCTCTTTGGAAATTCAGAGGTCTTTTCAATAACCAAGCCTCTCACCATGAGAACAGGTGTTTAATGGTTCTATACTCAACGCTTTGTTTTGCTGAAACGATATACTCCTACTTCTTACATAGGTGCCACAATACTACTTGAACTTCCATCTCCTCTGCCTTGAATATGACGTTATATACAAAGAGTACTGAGAGTCTAGATATAGGTAAAAGTACTCAGGTACAAATACAAGCACTTTTACACATATGATGCATCTAGTTTTTTTACACATACAATGCATCTAAGGCAGAGATACTTTCTCTACCTGTGAAGTGAAAAATCCTAACAGGTAGGTCAACCAATGTCTATTGCAACAATTATAAAGAAAAAAGTAAACCAAAAGCCGAAACAGAAGAAGACGTCTCTTATAAGCTAGCACCTATACAAATGAAATGAGCGCTGTTCTGTTCTTTGAAGCCACAGTAGCTTTGGACTAAGCCACCTTGTATGTAACTCCACCCCAAAGTAAACCAGTATTTGCAGCATCTGTAAATTTTTAGACCAAAATGCCGAAAAACTGTATCATGCACCTAGAACACATAACCAGAAGAGCCAGCCACTAACCCAGGGTATATGTTACAATTTAAGGACTCAAACACAAAGGAAAAATCAAAGTATTATTCTCTTAGCTGGTAACTCAAGCAAGCGATGTAGTCTTAGAAGAGTTCAGGAAACAAAGTCCTTTGAAAGCATATGCTTTTAGTTGCCTCAGGAAACATGCATTAAAATGAGGGGTAATTACCTTTCAGGTTCAAAGACACTGCTATCTGCTACCATGGCCTTTAACACATCAGCATTTGCTGCAATGAGAATAAACAGAACTCTTCAAAAGTGAACGGTTCTAACTTTAGAAAAAAACCAAAACCAAAATTAAAGTTCCTCGAAGATATTTAATTTAAAAGAAAGATGACTGCATTATGTATCTCCAAAAAAAGCACAAAAGAAAACTGCAGAAAAAAAAAATGTTAATATAATTCTATGGGTAACCTTAACATGAACTACTAAAATTGCAGTTCATATTGCACTCAAAACTCCACCCCAATGCAAGCCATGAAACGCAGCCATCTACACAAAACTCTTGAACAAAATCTCTGAATCACCTCACATGTTTAACTCAACTTCAGATTAAAAACAACAGTTTAAGTGAGCCCCACAAAATGAAAATTCATTATCAACCAAGAATTATTAATTGCTCATTTCCTATCAATACACATGAATTACCTAATCCCAATCTCAAGGAAAAATACACAAGCTCAAAGCACTAGTAGTCTAAAAAAAAAACCCTGAACAACAGAAAAAATCCCCAAACAACAAAATCCAAAAATCCCCACATGCAAACTCTTTTAAAACCATTGCTTTTCCAGAGGACTGATTCAGAGGTAGCTCAAAGCAAGTTCAATGGTCAGAACTCTGATTCTGACCATTGAACAAATGTAAAATCAAAAGGCTGACTGCTCTTGTCCTGTAAAAACGTTCAGTCTCCTAAACATTTCTTCTATTGGGCAAATACATTCTGAACTAACCAAGCATACCATGGGGTGCTTAACTATGATTTTGTTTTCTCAGTCACATCTTACTTTGCAGACACATGCAGATAACACGTACAGAATTCAACATTAGTGCTATATACCAAATCACCCATTAGTGCTATATAAATACCCATTAGTGCTATATACTGTCTCAGTTATGCACAAGCCTCTCATCAGACAAGAGCTGCAAGAATCATTTCAGGACAAGAAGTTAAATCTAGTCAAAACATGAAAGTTTCCACAGGCTTTAAACACTGCCACTCAGACAGCAACATTGAGCTTTTACTTCACAAAGCAAAAGGCTGAACCAAAAAGACCCAAATACCTAAACAGTTAAAATATATATGGAAATGCATGGCCTGAATTTACCATACAAAACAATTTTCAAGTAAGCAAGAAACTTCCCTATTGTCCTTGAAGTTACTGCCTTGTAAAGACAATTTGAAAGAGCTAAGAATGAACAAATTGGTTATTAAATGAAATCACGTGAACATACCATATGTCAGACTATCCAAAAAAACATATTTGTTATAGAACACCATCACAAGGGCTGCTAACTTCAATGGCAGTAACTTCAATACTGTACCTTCATTTTTCATGATGTAGTTAACAATTTGTCCCACAGTGTCACTATTCTCATGTATAGTTTCATTCATTTCTGTGCAAAGAAATAAATATGTTGTCAGTATCTTGGCCTTATGAATCAAGAACTGAACCATTTTAAAAATAAATAATGGCAAGACAGTCACAACGAAAACTGAACACAAACCAGAATGAACTACATTTCAAAAAAGAGGCAAGATTTTTTGTCACTTGGAGGGAAAGCTTAGGTAGGACTTTATCGTCCTGATTCAGTAAAAACTATGAACACAAGTTTATCATCTCTACAGTAGCCCAAACAAATTCAGCTGAGAACTAATTAAGCTCAGTATTTTCATAAACATACTTCAAAATTCCTTCTCTAGCTAGTAAGGAGGAGACAAATAAGAGAGCAGCATTTCTAATCCTAACAACAGGGAGGGGAAAAAAAACCAAAACAAAACATTTAACTGTCTCAAACCACTATTCTAAAGCAGGTACTAGAAAGCAGTTCACTTTTATTTTGAGGGGGATTCAATTTAAGATTTTCACATCTTCAAGGATGTAACAAATGATTAACTAAAAAATAATCTGAAAATTTTTGTAACAGAATGCACCCATTAACAATATTGAAGCCCCCCTAGAATATTCAGCAAAGAGTGAAGAAGATCAATTGGGGAACTAAAACAATGGAGAGGCAAAACTGTGCCCTTCCCTAATAATTGTTATAATGCTTTATTTAAAAAAATGGGATTGAGGCAAGTTTAATAGGCTACACTCTAAATTCTTCTCTTATGTAGTAAATTAGGAGCTTCCCCACCTCTGTACCCATGCTTCATCTTAATACTTGCAACTTTGCAAGGTAACTTAGAGGCAGCTCCTTCCTGCCACTGAGACATGGGGGATGTCCCCATTTCATTGCCACTGCCCTGTTCCACCCAGGGGAACAATCAGATCAGATCAGATCAGATCAGACAGCTCCACTGACTGCACAGCTGCCCCAGGCAGGTACTGCCTAAGAACACACTGACACATCACTACTGCACCACATGGGTCTGCCCTTACCACAGAGCCACTGCCATTTGCACTCATCATGAACCTACTGAAAGAAATTATTCAGGAGAAAGGAAGAGGAGTATTTACAAGTGACTTTTGTTCTTACTTACATTTTACAAATGTTATACCATGTTACTATAGCCCTTCTGGTAACACCCTTTTTTTCCCCAAGTAAGAATAAATGGGAAAAAGGAACAATAAAAACAAGGGTACAAATGAACAAATGTTAGGATTAAAAAAAGGCATCTTTAAGGAAAAATTGTAAGTAGTATTACATAAAACAGAATAAAGATATTCCGTCCAAAGGCTTGGTTTTATAAAAAAGAGAGGGGAGAAGTGAATGACAGCACAACAGGAACAAATTAAGACTGCAAAACACAAACCTAAGATTTTAGGCTTTAAATTTTTAGGAAACTTTTTGCCACTTCTCAGCTAGCACTATGTACAACAATACTTTGTTGTTAACAGCATGTAAAATGCAGAAAAATGATCTGGTGACTCCATCTATGGAGTTGCAAACAAATATAGGGATACTTTGATCCCTCTGTAATCTTACTTAATGTTAGCACACTTGCATGGGAAAAGCGGAACACGCCTGGATTTGACTGGCAGAGATCAAACCCCAAGTGACATGTACTAACAAAAATATTATTCTTAATACTGCTTTGATGTCAAATATAGACACAGGAATGACAGAAGTCTCACAATAAATTATTTCATAGTAGTTGCAATGTACAGAAATAAGAATTTCTTTATTAGACTTGATTACCTATTTTTTCATCAATTTTTTCTTCTTCTAGTTCTTCAGCCTCTGTTGTACAACGGTATCCTTTTTTCTTAAGGATATGGCAGATAAGGATCCCCAAGAGACCCATGATGAAGAAAACAGGAACCAAAGCAAAGGCAATATACTCTAGGTGTTCAGGCTTGCCATCATTGCCATCCACTTTAGTTGTCAAAGTAGTTGTCTGTAAGCCATGGCTCGACAAAACCCACGGAACCTCTCCATCTATGTAAATCAATAAATAAATGTATCACTATACACTGTAAATCACTTGAAAAAATTCAGAAAATTACAAGCATGACCAAATCTCACAGTACCTTCTGCAACGAAGAGGAAAGCACATACTCTACTGGCTGACAACTTACACCAGACACAGGAAATAATCCCTCTTCACCAAACAATTACAAACATCTAACACCCAAAAAAACCTGGGTGATATTTCTTCAATATAACAGTGAAGAACCAATCATACTGTAGCCTGACAGGCGGGTAATCTCAAATAAAGCCTCACATTTCACAGAAGAATAACACTATCATTGCTCCTTGTTCACATCAGCAAGGAAAATGCTACAATATTCCTCCAGCCCAGGAGTTCATGCAAAATTATCAATAAAATGTGGATCCTTCCCTAATATGAGAGTAAATACAGGATTTAATATTGACCCTTGCATAGAAAAATTATCAGGTGTGAAAGAAATAGCCTTGATTTTTACTTTTCTTTTGACAGTGGAAATTCTCAAAAGAGCACCCACCCCCTACTCATCAGAATAAGGTGGACTCATTGTTTGTCTCAGATCTGGAAATCATTTTGTATTTAAACTTGACATGAAAGAATTCTTTTTGCTTGCAAAGAATTTAAGTTGTAGCATTGTCACACACTATATCCACATTTAAGCACGTTTGTTTCATTTAAGTTCTGAATTTCACAGATGTAAACTCCATGTTATAAACTGGGATTCTGACCTATCAAAAGTACAGAATATTTACATTAGAAGGGAAACTTGAAATTCATCAGTCCAAGTGCTGCTAAAAGCAGCACTGATTAGATCGGGTTTTGCACATAAGCTCCATCCAGATAATGAACATTCCACATCTCTGAACAATCTCTTCAAGATTAACACACTTTTAAGTCCAATATACACAAAGAAACTAAGAACACAGTACCTTCTCCCATATCAAAGTATAAAAAGGTCAACAGCTCAGATAAATCCAAAATTACACATTGCATACTGAAAACCTTTGCAAACCCTTAGAGCTTATACACATTCCCCACCCCATATAATAAAGACTTATATATTACTATCCCCAACATGAATTTCTACCTTCTATTCTTCTCCTCCGCTCCAGCAGAAAACAATTTTGTTTGAGTAGGAAATAATAACAACCAGAAAGTGTTCATTTTTTTATCCACCTATTTCCCATCTACTTGTATTGAAATGGACAAGGAAATTCACAATTGTTCCATTCATCAAACTCACTGAAGAATAGAAGTCAGCAGAAAACCATTTACATGACAGGGACACTTTCACAACACAAATGTCTAGAAATACAATCCTTTCCTTTTAAAAACAAAACAAAACAAAACAAAACAAAAAAAAAAAAAAAAAAAAAAAAAAAACAAAAACAAAAAAAAGAGGAAGCCTCTAAAAATTTGCAGAAAGAGCATTATTCCACAAACGTTTCCTGCACTGGCTGCATAACTATGTTGCATTTGAGAAACACCAGTAAGGTCATAGACAGCAAAGAGAAGTTTGGTACTTACCCTAGTTTTTTTTATTCCTCTAGAAACAGTAAACCTTTTATTTTAAAACATTTCTGAATTTTTCAGAACAGTCTCAAATTGTCAGTTGGGTAGTATGCAATACACAAAACTTGCTCAAAGTGAAAACAATGGAAATTACTTGAAATAACAACTGATAAACCCAATTAGCAACAAGAAAAAAAAAAGAAGTATTAAGCATTTTGCTAAAATAATTTCCTAGGAAATAGCAGAAATGCAGACAAATTGAAAGAAGCGCAAACAAATTACTGAACAGATATCAAAACTAAATGTTAAGCAGAATCTCAGGATATTTGCTTTGGACAAAATCAGATGGTCTAGTTTGTTCCCAAAATCAGAAGAGAAACTATTCCCTTTTAAGAGGGCAGCAATCCTACAGATAACTGTGTGCAGAATTTACCAACATGTAACCTTTGAAGCTGTAACACAGGTCTGAGTAGGACAACTGAAAAATATCTACAATTTAACACTTCAAGATTGCAGTTGTTTTATTCTGCAAGGAAATAGAAGACAGGAAAGGGTTAGGGATACAGTTTATTTTTTTTTAACTCATCAGGTAGCAACAGCCACAGAGTATCCCAGTTAATCAACAAAAGTAGTTTCATTTACTTTCGAGGCAGGAGAAAACCATCACACCAGAGAAGTATTACTTGGATGACTACAACACCTCAGAATCTAGGAAATACAACTGAAACAGTATACAACACAAGCTCTTAAGGGTATTAATAAATAAGCACCTTTCCTGTTCAAATCTAAGACAACAACAGGCAGATACTTTGGATTTTGTTGCACTGTATTGATTTTAAGAATGAATGGGAAACACCTCCTTTCTATCATCATCCACTTGCTAGTCAAGCCATTTTGTGGAAGGGTCAAAATTTATCCAACTCAACTTTGGATTTTCTGCCTCTCTTTGGATTGCCCAAACAATCAAAAAGTACCTATTTTCTCCATAACCATGGCAGGAAATTCCCACCAAACACAGAGAGCAAGGGGGCCTTACAACATGACTAGAGGTCCAGCCCTCTGGCTTTCTACATCATGGCTCACTACAATTCCTCCAGATCCAAAGTGGTTTTCAGAAGTCCCTTTCCATTCAGTTCTCAGCTACCCCAGTCACTGTGCTCCTGACAGACTGTAATCCTAAAAAGAGTTTTTAACTGGATTACTGAGATAACCAGGTTTCAAAAAACAAGGCCACAAAAAAAATTCTTTTGTTTTTAAGCAGTCATTTTACTGAATCAGCATAGCCTGAGGTTTGGCAAACTCCTCTGTTAAGACAATCCACTGACTGAGTATGCTGAAGCAGGGAAAAAACAATGAGCAAGAATAGACAAGTACATCTAGAACAAACATCCTAGAGTAATTGTAGTAACATGGAGCCACAGTCTCAGACCATGGTCAAAAAAAAAGGGCAGTAGCATTAATTATGTGCAGAAAAATTTTAAATGTGAGGGCAGTATTCAAGGCTGGGGTGGATAAGGCTTTGAGCAACCTGGTCTAGTGGGAGGTGGTTCAAGGAGGGTTGAGACTGAACAATCTTTAAGATCCCCTCCAACCCTCAGCATTCTATGAGTCTATTAAAAGAAAGTATAATTTCCAACATAATTATTTTTAAATCATCAACCTGAAACCCCGTCATCAACACAGCCATTGAAAACACAGATACAATTTAACACCATCAACACCCCCCAAAAGAGCACACTGTGCCTATACTTCCTCCAAAAGGAAAATTGTGCCTATACTGGCACTTTTTTTACTGACAGAAGAATGTTGACAAAATTATAATTTATCAACTGAATGCTCAGTAACACAGATTAGTCTATTAAAAGGGTTAAGGTTTACACAGGTTTTGAACTATGAAGGAAAACATACTTAGAAATATTTTTTTCATTTAAAAATTCATTAAATTAACATGGATACTTCAACATACCAGATAATTTACATAGGCCTATGTGACTTTTCTTTGGTTGTAACTAAATACCTAAAAATTCAACGAGAAACAAACATTACTAGTAAAACATTGTATCAATAACATTCCTATAAAAACACATTATTTACATGAAGTCCAGAAACTGCTTGATGCCATTCATTTTTTGCTCACACACAAAAACTCACCAAAAGCAAAGCAAAACTATCCAAGAAGAAATTAACTTAGCTGAATTGAGTACTTGGTGCCGTGTCACCTTACAAGCAGAGCAAAGCACTCAGCTTTCATTATCTAACACCCTACACAGTCTGCCCTCAAAACCCTCAGCAATTATGCCATAATGCAAAGCCAAGCCCTGAGGACCTAAACAGGCAGTACAATTTATGTGCCAAGTCACAGCTCCATCGTTCATTGTGCATTCCCCATTCCCTTTCCCCAGAGGCACATTACACTTCTGTCACACTGCTGACAGTTCACCTCAGTCTCGTGATGCATGATGCTGCTTCTCAAAGGTTTCCATCAGGCCATGGCAATCTTCCTTGACTTGAGTCAATTCATAAAGAACTTATTTGTTTCAGTGCTTTGCTGTCCTGGCATTTTTATACACCAGTCATTGTATACCAGTCTACATATGAAACTTATGTGAAGATGTGATCTAAATGAAATTATTTAGAAGCGATATTCAGCACACTTAGTGATGCTTAAGCTGTAAATAATAAGTTGTATTCATGCTACTAATTCAGATCCCACGTACTCATTTGCTTAAAAAAAAATAATATATGCCAAGTACTGAAGTTGAATGTTGCCTGCCCTTACTTCATCCTTACCTAAGAAGTAAAATATAAAGATAGTCAACCTCAGACAAGTCTTTTGGTTCTAATCAATGTTACTCAGATACATTGGCAGTGTTCTTCCACCTCAGCAATTGCTCAAGACAAATTACAGCACCTTCAGGAAACAGAATATAAGAGGAAAAAAGTTAACAGATAAGTGGAAAAATATTTCATGCTTCATTCAATTGCAATTTTTACATGGCAAAGACAATTTTTTTCATAAAGCACATGAGAAATTTCTAGAAATATTTAATCTTAATCCTATCTTGCCTAAAGTGACTCAGATTCTTGAAAAACAAATCCTTTTAATAACCAAGATCAAAACAGTTTAGTTCTTCTATTAGCAGTATACAACTCAGCATTAAAATAATGCACTGTTTTTCTAAATCTCCTATACTAGATCTAAGTAGAATCTACACCCATCTGATTATTTCAAGCACATTCCACTTGTTTTTGTATTGTTTAATTTAGAGAAAGTGGCCCATAAACAACAACATAATCTTCTCTCTGCTCTAGTGGTAAAAAATCCTCTTTAGTTACTCTGGATTTTGCCCATTATCCTCATGCCACTTGCCTTTTATGGCATGCCTTTTAAAAAAGTTTGTTTACATGTTATGAAATTGGTTATTTGAGCAATCTACCTGCTAAAAATAGATACATATATATTCACTATCTTCTTGTC